TAAATCTAAAAAAAAGAACAATGATGTAAAGTATATAAAAATAAAAAATATATTAAAAAGTTAGAAGAAGAAGTTCTGGGGTAAGAAGTCTTCTGTACAAGATGATTCCAGTACCAGATGGTCCCAATATGCAGGCAAGCTTAAGAGTCCCCGATCTAGAATTTTCTTTCGTTTGGATTATTTCAGTCTGTTTCAACGAATTTATCCACTTTATCTATGTAAATGTCACCTCCCCACGTTCAGCTAAGATAATTTCTTCCTCAGGAACCCTTGGCTGATCTATTTCTTCTGGGTGAGGCCAGTAAAATAGACAGGCTGCTGTGCAGTGGCTTGGGTGGGCACGTCTGCACTCTGGCACAGTGGGCACTGTGCATGTTGGCAGAGTGGTTTTCATGGGTCTCCTCGATATATTCCTTAGACTAAAATTGCACCCAGCTTCTGTCTTCTGAAAAGTTAAAATCTCTGAATCCAACAAGATGAGGGTATATATGAGCAGCAAAAATATAAATGATAAATATTTAATCATATCCTGTTTCTTGCATGAATATGACAGGTTTTGGTTCCTGGATGTTAAGTTTGGGGGTTCCTCAACCTTGACTATGGCTATAAAAGAATGCTCAGACAAAGTAAAGCAAAGTTTACTTGTGGACAGTACATCCAGAAAGAGGCCTGGGTGAGCAGGTCCAGGGAAGAACAGCTGCCAGGAAAGGCAGGGGAATCTGCCTTAAATGGGGTAGAGGGAGAGAGTATGGGGGGCTGCTCACTCCAGCCCTTTGCAGGATATACAGCACAGATGCCCAGGCTGTTGGCTTATCAGTCCGGGCAGGAGTTTCTTAGTCACGCCTTGTGACTTTGGGCTCCCGGGGTATAGCTTTATCAAATCCAGCAGCAGGTTGGGGTGAGGACTGCTCCCCTTTCTTTGCAGCTTCTGGCTCCCCTCAGGGTCTATGGCCCTACTCATATGTTGGGCCTGGTACTGCCTTTGTCTCTCTGGACGTTTTTTTGATTCTTGTCATTCTTTGTCACTTCTGGCAAGAGTTTCCTGGAGTCATGGATATGCTCACTGTTGGTTTTTCTTTTTTTCTTTTAAACATCACCCTCTCTGCCCTAACTGTCTAACATGTTGACTCAATATATCAGAAAGGAGTATTGCCTGAATCCCTCTCCTCCTACGTTCTCTAACTTGATTCAAAAGATCAGAGTCATCTGCAGTGATATTGAATTATGGCTTTTTTGTAGTTAAACTTGGGACCCACCTAACCTCTATTGGCTCAGAAGTTTGAAGAGAAGGTGGAACCCAGAATTTACTTGTATCGGTATTAGGATGCCAGTGTCCACAGAGACCACTTAGCAAGCTGTGACCTTCACTACTCAGTCCCACCTTCCTGGCATTGTGTTTGGGCTTGAGGATGTCTTGAGGAGACACCAGATGCACCTGTCCCCTGCCCTCTGCCAGGTTTTCATGTGCTTCACCTGTGCCCTTCACTACCAATCGCCATTTGTAGATATCACCATGGGTCCCTGCCACCAAAAGGAGTTTCCCAAGCACCATAAACCCCTTTACTGCCACGTTCAATGAAAGTTTCCCTCAGTCAACTTTCTTCTTCATCTTTCTCTAGTACCATCACCTTTCTATACTGAGTAACTGTTATATTGTCAGGCAATACTTGAGTGTCTGTGGTGGAGTTTGTTTCCTTCTGGATTTCTTGTGCTCCTCTTGGGCTTGTTGAGGCTCTAGTTTTTACCTCTAGTTCAGTGTCCACCTCCTTTTTAATGAGTGTAACTCTGAGAGGTGGGGAGAAGCTGAGGGCAAGGACTATGCTGTCCACCTGTGGTGTCTCATGCTGCTGCGCGCACAGATGCTTGCAGGTCACAGAAGTTAGTGAATGAGTGAGCAATTCCTGAGGCTTCTGGCTGGCAGTGATCACTTCTGTTCCTCTGCTGTCTCAGCTGCCCTGCCCGCCCCCCCACACCCACCCCACCCTTCACCCTCCAACCCCCACGGTCCGCCCCTCCCCTGCCTTCCGGTATTCGTGCTCTGCAGGGCTGCCTAGCGGTTCATGTTGGAGTGTTGGCTGTCCTCAGGAGCACAAGGGCCTCCACTTCAGTTCTGGCATCACATTTCATTTGAGTGCTCATATGATTCCCATCACAATCCCTGGAGCCTAGATGAGGCCCAACAAAAAATCTGGTTATTGAGCTGTCACCACCCACAGTGGAGGCTACGCGGGAGGCATCGGAGCTTGCAGCTCCAGGTCCTCCCGACCTTACCAGGCCTGAGTGCAGGCTGCATTCTTGAGTTGCCATCGGAGTGTGGCGAAGCATCTCTGTCCACTGGGAGGCTGACCTCTTCTGCACCTTCCCTTACAGTCACGGTCTCCATTCAAATCACAGACGGCCGAGGCTCCCAGGGGCAGCCCTGCACCGTGGAGGTCACCGTCCTGCCGCGTTTCCATGGCAACCGCTGCCCAGATGAGGACGTGTGAGTAACACGTGAGCACCCTCGGAGACTCCCTCTTCCACTCAGCAACACAGTGGGGTCAGCCCTGGCTACTAGGAACTCACCTCCTGATAGCCAAAGAGCTAGCCGGCCCTGCCAGCCCCAGCCTGCCACGTGAAGTGTGCATGGTATTTGGGCAAGGGACCATAAATCCTGTTTCTGTTGCTGGTGTACTTCGTTTTTTTGGAATCACAACCCTATTTCTCATAGAGCCTTTTTAAAAGAAGAATGGTGTAAAAATAAATTAATTTAAAAAAATGTTTTTAGCTTTGTCTTCAAGAGCAAATTTGCCACTTTGATGAGTGACCATTTCCCCTTTATTCTTAACTTTTGCTAAGAAATATTTTGGTGTTATTACAATGTTTTTCCTTTCCAGTGATTTTATACACACACACACACACACACACACACACATATATAAGTTATATACATATAAATTACATATGTATATATATATATTACATTATTCTTCATTTTGTCCATTTCTTTTTTTAATCTCAGTTGTAATCCGGATGGTTTCACTCATCATAGCAGGAGTGTAAGGGATCAGGAAAAAATAAATATATATATACATAGTACTATACATGTATAATAATATATATATAAAGTAACATATATATTACTAGATATATATAGTAATTGTAATAAAGTAAAAAAGTACCTCAACTAACAACTATAATCCAGTGACTTTCTTAATCTTCACTTTCTTTTGTTGGTTTAGTAATCTTTGGAAATCTTTTATTTTCTGGTATAAGACATCAGGCCTGCCTTATGACATAGGCAATATTTCTTAATAATGATTTATTTTCTTTAGTGGAAAATTTGACATTTTTTCTTTGTTCCCTGTTCTTCCGGTTTCACTTGTCATGTAGATAAAGTCCATTGAACTAGCTGGAAAATCACAGTTGATCGCCCTTGTTCACACCTTTAAAATTATTCCCTCTGCTTGTAAAGCTGTGCAAATAGCAACCCACACTATTCCTGCTCTTGAGTTGTGGGCTGTGTTACCTCTCTGTTGCTTCATTCTGTTTGCTTGAAAAGTGTCCACATTAATACCTTCATAATGAGCTCATGAAAAAGATCTTTATCCCTTTCAATGGACTGAACAAAAACAGGAACAGGTGGCTAGACATTTTTTAATGAGTTCTCTCATGGCCAGAGGTTAGAGGTTTCCCAGTGTCAGAAGCAGTAAAGAGAAGTTTCTGTTCTCAGTCTCCGTGCTCCAGTGGCTACAGTGACGACATTGTCTAGACTGAGTTTGCTCAGCACCGTACACACAAGTTGCATTGAACACAGCTCTTCTGAGTTTGTGGGATATGCAAACTAGGAAAATGGAAACCAGATGGTCTCTGAACCCAGCTTTACCATTTTAAAACAGTTTGTCAACATTTTTAAGTCTATTCCTGGGGGATCTTGCTTTAATAAAATTAGTGAATTTGGAATAGTGACAAGGATATCAAACTTCTTAGATGATCTGAGTCCAAGTTTCTTGGCTGCCACTTTTACTTTGTGGACCATTGGATCCTGAGTACTGTTCCTTCAGAAGTTTTCACTAACTCTTGATGAATATGACTGGCAAGTATTGGCAGTATAATCAAGGTCCTGAAGCCTGTGCTTGTTGGTTGCTTCATTTGTATTAAAGTGGGAAAGTGAAAGTCTAAGTCATTACCAATCCAGTAGGAGCAGAAGCCAGAAGTTATCTATCCACCATGGACCACAAGTTGCCCTAAGTATCAGGAAGTCTACATCTAGAATATTCTGAAACTGACTCTATATCCTGGTCAAGTTGCTGAAATATAGCAATTAGGTCAGGAAAATCAGTTCTTTCCAGTTTCCTTTCTGAAATGTCTCAACTTTCCTGAAGTCAATTTATTTTCTCTCTTAATTTTTTGGCTTCCATTTTTGCTTCCACAGATGCTCTCTGTTGCATAATAGAGCCTCCTTGGGAAGTAATTTCTGAAGTCATCTTCTTATTCCTTTTTCTTGTCCTGTTGTCTTTCCCTTTCAAGGTAGGGTCTTTTCTATTTTTTCCTCATTCTGAATCTCCTGGTAGGTTCTTGATGTTATCCCATTAAACTGTGTGTCTATCTTTGTATCAGCACCATACTGCGTATCTTCACAGTAAATTTTGAAATTGGGAAGCAGGGATCCACTAATCTGCTCTTCTTTTTCAAGATGACTTTGGTTATGTTGGATTTCCTGGTAATTAGTGTGTGTGTGTGCGTGTGTGTGTGTGTGTGTTTGTAAAGCCACTTGGGATTTTACTAAGGATTGCATTGAAACTATAGATCACTTTTGGATGTATAAGGGTAATATGAGGTTTTCCAATCTGTGACCCAAGTTTTTCCATTTATTTATAATGTAATTTCTTACTGTCTAATCCTCAGAGTTGAACTTTTTGTTTGTCAATTTAATCATATTTTATTTTTTCTTAATCTTATTATAAGTGGATGTTTATCTTAATTTATTTGAGGGAATTTTTAGTGCTAATGTATAGATATCAATTGATTTTTATATATTGCTCTTACAGCCTACAACCTTGCTGAGTACATTTATGAGCTCTCACTATTGTTTATTGCATTCCTCAGGATTTTCTATGGATACATTCATTTCTTCTACAAATAGAGAGAGTTTTAGTTCTTCCTTTTTAATCTGGAACATTTTCAATTATTTTTCTTTCTTAATTGTCCTGGCAGGACTCCCAATTCCATACTGGATAGAAATGGCAAGTAGGGATATCCTTAGCTTTGCTCCTTTATCAAGTTGAAGATGTTCGCTTGTATTCCTAGAATTTTGTTTGGATTTATCAGGAAATTATGCTGGAGTTTGTCAAATGCTTTAGCTAGCTCTGCTGAGATGATCATGTGAGTTTTCTCTTTAAAACTAGTAATATGGTACTAATGTGGTTTTGTTTGATTTTTATATTCGAATCCTTCTTATATTTCCTGGGCAAACCTCCATAGGTCATAGTGTATCACCCATTATAACTCTGTGCCATCCATATACAGTGATACAGTTTGGGTGTTGACTTTATTGTGGTTGAATGCTAACTACCAACTCTGCCCACTAGAATGCTCTGAACCTTCATCCAGCACTGTGTTTATACTACTTTCTTTCAATTGCATTGATATTTTTGTATCGTTCAGTACGCATCTGATGCCTATTTCAGTTCTGATAAAGAGATTTTATAATATGTTTACAATATACCACACTGTGTATGACTCTCTATACAGAACACTTCCTTCTGTGCCACGTTCTTCCTGTCCTAACCCACCCAAAAATCATTTGTATAACAAATGTCATTCCACTCTTAATAGGGTCACTGAAAAGATTTGTAATGTGTTGAAACAATCATGCTAACTTTTCTATTTCCTCAGATATAATTCCAGCCTGAGAAATCTATCTACCCTCCAGATGATGGGAAGTTATACAGAAATCAGGAACTATATCATGATGATCACAAAGATTCTGAGCCGTTGGGCTAAGAAGAACAGAAATCCATCCTGTGGTCAATGGTCACAAATACAAGATGCATTTATTTCTTCAGTATGCAGATTAACTCTAGTAGACCAGGTAAGATGAGAGCAGGGCTAGGTCAGCATCTGTAAATCTTGACCAGAGAAGTCAGGCATCTGATTGCTTGTCTTGGCAGCAAATAGCCATAATTAGTGAAGAAATGGTGGGCTAGCCAGCTTATCTTTCATGCATGGCGTGGCTGGCTGTTCTTGGCTGCTCATATTTCACAGGAAATGCTGCTGGTTTATAAAAAAGAGACTGATATAAACCAGTCACTGCAGATCTTTCTGCTCATGTTTCGGAAGTAAAAATTATGTAAACACAATCTGATATTGTTAAGTTTATCATTATGTGCAACTTCTCAGTAAATGACCATACATTCAAATGCCCTTGTTCACAACCCTGCCTGTCTTGTAAATGTCATTAGAGAGCATCTCCTTAAAGAGAATACATATTTCACTGTAACCGTGATGTTTTCACTTGAACTGATATTTTCTTTCTCCATCATTGTCTCTTACCCTTTTCCAAAGTTTCTTATTTCCTCTTCCCTCATGTTAATTCCCTCACTATGTGTGGAGTGTGGTTGAATGGTTAGCGGGTAGCCAGAGCAGAGATACAGCACCAGTGGGAAAAAGTTGGTACCAAAGGGGTGATGGCCTTAAAGAATGTTGATGTCTTATTAGTCTCATAACTTAAAAACATGGAATCTGTTCTCCCTCTACACGAACAAGCCAAAGTATGCAACCTTAAACTAGATAGCTAACTTTCCAAATGTTTTTCCTTTTTTTTTTTTTTTGTTTGTTTCTTCTGTCCAGGAAGAAATGATTGATTCTATTCTTATATTGAAGGAACTCCTCCATTTCCCTAATAAGGTGAGTTATTTTCTTGCATCTTCATAGAATTCCAAGGATGTTTATTACAGTTCTTGAAGAACATACTTTGCAGTTACATTTTAACACTTAGATGAGAAATACTATTTTTCCTTAAGAATTTATTAGAACAGCATCGCTCATCTTAACTTGTTATGGCTGTGTTCCAGAGAAATCAGATGGCACTTAGAGAGATGGAGAGAGAGATTTTACTCGTCACCCCAACGGGATCGGTGGGATCAGTCCCAAAAGGCTGAACCCCAAATTACAGGAATGGTGAGGTTTCCTACAGTTTGTGTGAGGAAACTTGTCATCCCACCGCTCATAGCATAAGCATTCTTTATTGTTTGGGAAGGGGGTCAGGGTAGCCACAGCTACCCCTGTGAATTGGGAGTGCAGTACACCCAGAAGCTTCTCGGCACCAGCAAGCAGCAAAATCAAAGCAGCAGACTCCCCCAAGCAACAGGCTTGGGAAAGTAGCAAAATAGAAGCAGACATGGGAAACTTCCTGCTTCAAAGTCACTGGTAAAGAACTTTTTCAGAATGTAATTTGAAACCTATAGTGGAGATGGATTAAGCCAGTCACATATGCTATGAAGAGTTTTGGTCAGGGAATTGTTCTTCACTATTCATTCATCGCCTTAGACTCCCCCATCTTCACCCCTCTCTTTTTCTCATCTCCAGCCCACGTTCTCACTCCTCTGTTCATGGAGAGATGAAAGGAGACCCCAGAAAGCCCCTGCCTAGCATCCTCATACCTAATCACAGCCTACCTGTCACCCCGGCACCAAGGTCACCCGGCACCGAGATCCCCACTTCCAGCAAAGGCTCACTCTCATCTGTTCTCAGAATTCTATTCAAGGCCACCTCATGGCCCTGATGTCAGTGTGTGACTAGTGCCCCCAGAAGTTGTGTTGGGTTCCCCATGTGGCCGCAAGTGATGAACCTGCCTCTTGTTAGTTTCTCAAGGTCTTACCATCTTTAATCTATCACTCTGTCTACTGCTTTTCCCATTTCTTCCTTTCTACTGGTTGGTTCTCATATGCTCAGAGTCTCATTGATTTTAAGCATTCTTTCACTAAAACTACACTGATTTCTAGCTGCCACCTCACCTTCTTTTCTTTACATTAGGTACAATTTACTCCTTCTCCTCCTCCTTTTCCTTCCCTTCCCTCCCCTCTCTGCCTTTCCCCTTCCCTCCCTTTCCCTTTCTCTTCACTTCCTTATTCCTTTCTTCCTTTATGTGTTTAACTGAGTAACATTGGGGTACCCCCATCAGGTATGACACCATAGTGCATCCACCCCTCATCCTTACTCCACCATCACAGATCTTTGTTTCTCCCTCCCTGCTTTTTCCTTTCCCCACCTCAGTTCTGTAGTCAGCTACCAAGAGTTAGTCTTTCAGCTTCTTTCTCTGACTATTAACTTAGTTATGTTCTATTCTACCTCCTCTTCATATTTTCTTTATTGTGGAATAGCAATAGTGAATTCTGCTTTGCTGTGGTTTAGAGTTGCTCTTTTGCATGCATTCGTAAGCTGCTTAAATCTGACTCCATTTCTATCCCAAGGCTGAAGCTGCTTCTGCCCAAATCACTGGAAATCTCTGTGATGCCAAGTCCACTGCTCACCTTCCTTGCTCCTGGGTCTTCCCTGTCAGGGAAGTTCACTGGCAGGCGCCCTCCTTTTGACCCTAACCACCCCTCAAACTCCCAGCCCTCCACCCCCACCCCCACTCCTCTTCCTCTCCTTTATCCATTCAGAGCTTCACATTCTCACCACCATCTTCCTTGGGAGGCCCGTCAAATCCCTTTACGCTGAACTCAAGTGCTGACAACTTTGTATCCCCAACCCAAACTGCTTCCAAGATCCCCAGACTCATTTGTATCCTGCTCTATGCCACATGGCAATCACCATCCCTCTCACTCAGCGTGGGCGAGGGTGAGATGGTCTCCTCCCTTGCTTCTCCCCTGTTCCTCCTGACGTACTCATTCCACCTGCTTTCCCCACCTCCACCACCTCAAATCAAAAATCTAGGTGTCAACAAAGATTATCCACTACCAACTTTAGATAAAATATAACCAACTAATTTACCTGCAAAATGAGTTTCTTTGAGGATAGTAGGAAGAATTACGATTACAGACATGAATGCTATGGTGGACCATACACAAATCCAGACTGTGGAGGAGAGGAGCTTGATTATGCAGGAAAAAGGAGCGGGAGAGAGAGTTCTGAACAAGTTAATTGGAAGAGAGTTAGAGTTCAGGGTGGTTTTGGCTTATTATGTGGCGTGTGACTCCTTTCACTGGCAGGGCTGCTGCTGGGCAGGGTAAATCTCCTGGGAGCAGTGGGTGACTTCACACTTGGAAGTGTATG